ATTCGTTCCATCGCCTGTGTAGCCAGTGTTGCAAGTACATAAGTATGATCCTTGTGTATTATTACATGTTGCTTGAGCTTGACAGATGTTTGCTTGTGAACATTCGTTGATGTCTGAAACAGAACAATGATTTCATTAAATTTTCCAAAACATAAAGCATGAGCAGAAATTAAGAGGACTTTATTAACGGAAGATGTCCCACCATCCTTGTGGATTAAGCCGTCTCTGAGAGAATGAAGGAAAAAAGTGAACCACGACATATTCAAATATATTAAGCAGTGAGTGAAGGCCCAAATAATTAGTAACATAGAAATTCATTTTTGTTGTGGCGGCCACTATGGAAACATATTTAAAAATTTAAGTTAGCAAGATATAGTGAAAAACATCAAAACTTAAACCTTGCAAAATCAAAAACATTTTTTCGCACCCTAGCTGGTATCGCTGGTAATAACGATCTTGTTCTGACTAGGAAATAAATTATCAGCAAAGGATCTAAGATCAGACATATGGTTACTATCAGGCAGTCCATAACAACGCACAAGAAGCCATTTTGCGTCGTTGGATTGCAGAACCAGACAGCCAGAATGATGAAAAATATAGGGATTATATAATCATGAATTTATTCATCTTGAGGTTTGTCTAGATTGATTAATTGAAAGAATCGAATTACCCTATTCTCGAAACAGTTCTAATCAAAGTTCTAATTGCTACTTGAACTTGACGTATAATGTTGTCGCGTGTGCCGCATGTTTGGGTCATAATTAAACGGTTCCAACTGAAGTTTTAAAAGTCTATCGTCGCCGTAAAAAAAAACTATTTCCACAAATATCCAAACAGTCCCACTAGCAATTAACAGATTTTTACTAGTTCCAGGTAGATGTTGCATAAAACGCGGAGCGGTCAAGCTCGCGCCTCACGCGATAGCGCGTTACGTCACTTTTTCTCTGCTAGTGTAAGATCAGTAAATTTAGTTGGGTATGACAAAAGGAGAATTTTTACAGGGAGAGCTGAATCGGATTTCGGAGAGTTAAGTTAGAGCCACGCTAACATTTTCCAGCGACCACACCCAATTTCTTAATTATCCTGATATCTCCTTTTAACTAACATGGGAGACTTAAATAAAAAACTATCTTCCGGCAAAACATAAAACTATGAGAAAGTAATTGAAAGTAACTGTTAACAAATTTCTAACGGTTTTTATGGTTGCGAAGAAAGGCGATAGTTAAGTCGGATTTTTACATGAATGGTTAACAGCATCAATGCATGTAACTCCCAAGACTTTTCTGCCGTGAGCAATACCTTTGTCAGGCCGAACTGTTCGCAAAAATTCGCAAAATGTGAGAGATGTGGTTGGAATCATTATAAATTGGACAGCTATGTAAAACAATTGTTATTACATAAACAGCTACCGGATGTAAGCTATTCTGCAATCTGATTGGCTCTCTACTTGCCAGTATACAGAAAACAAGATGGCGGCGCAAGAATTACCGCAGTTTTGGGAATTACCGGAGTTTTTCAGTCGATAAAACAGCACGTTATTTGCTTATTATAGCTTTAACAGCAATAAAACACAATGAAAAAAACTCCCAGGACCTGTTTACAGGTTAGATTTGCAGTTTTTTATATTTAAACTGGTTGAAAAATATAATTTTGAAAAAAATGATGCCGAAAGAAAGAGCGAAGATAAAAACATGCATAGAAACCAGAATATATATTTTTTTACAAAACTGATTTCAAAGGAAAAAAAAATTATAAAGTAAAGTCAACAAGCACTTGTTTTGTTTAAAAAATATTAAATATTTACCGTCAAGATACAAGAACATTCCCACTTCCGCTTCTGTAACTTGTTTTGTATTTCTGTAATTTATTATATTTTTCTGTAGCGATTACCGCTTTATCGGCAAATATCGCGGTAGGGTCCGGTAGAATTTCGCTGTCCTTCCTTCATATACGTCAATTTGTAGCAATGGATACACCTTTCGTCAGATTCTTTGCATAAAAGTTGCGAAACGTAGATCTTATACAGATATTTGCTGATCAATCGGTTTTGAACCGCCGCCGGCTCAAAGTGTGTTCATACTATACAAATTTAAAATTACAGACTACAATCATTTGACGTACTAAAATAAAAATTTCGCAACTTTTATGCAAAGAATCTAACGAAAGGTGTATCCTTTGTTACAAATTGACGTATATAAAGGAAAAAAAGGGGAATTTCTACCGCGATATTTTCCGATGAAGCGGTAATCGCAACAGAAAAATAGAACAAATTACAGAAATACAAAACAAGTTACAGAAGCGGAAGTGGGAAGGTTCTTGTATTTTGACTGTAATATATAAAAATTTCAAGTCTTATAGCAATGTTCAAAGTACTGATTTAAAAAACGCTGCAACTAAAGTCAACTCTCGCCTTGCGGACGCACCACAATTACGGATACCACGCTATTACGGACAGTTGGTAATTCCCCGGCCGAAACTACTATGACATGCATTGAAATAGCTCTCGCTATTGCGGACTCTCACTATTACGGAATTGCGGACACTTCAAGTGGTCCAGCATTGCTCCAGCATTACTTTTCTAGAATTGACAATTTCTCAACCATGATCATCGAATTCTCCAGCATACCTTAAACTTAACACAAGCTTTCACTCTTCGCGAGGAAATAAAAAAATCTTTATGGAATCAAAATAGGAAAAAGAAAAAATGCGTTAAATAAATTTTTGAAAACAATACTTACCATCGCAGCGCTGGCCGGTATATCCAACTGGGCATGAGCAAGAGAATGATGTTCCATTATTTGAACAAGTTCCACCATTCATACATGGAGCACTGGCACATGGAACTAAATTAGATTCAAAATGTTAAGATCCATGTAAACTTGAGGGGACTCGAAGAATTCAATTCACAGAATCCGGCAGCGAATTAGCTTGTAATATCACACATAAATAACACCATGGTCTAATTACGGAAGCTGTTTACGATACCCAGCAAAGCAAGACCAACTTAACTTTTGCTAATTTATCATCCAACGTTCATCCAAACTTAACCAAAAGTGAATCTATCCGTACAATAGGCAATGTCAATTAGTCCGCCAAAATTTCGTATTAGTATGTAAAATACTTTTTAAGTTACTAAACAAGCAAACACACACCCACACATACAAACATGGATAAAAACATAACAATCTGGCGAATCAAACTAATAAATGTTTAGGAATTTCAATCTCTCATGCACTAGGTCATCATCACATCACGAATATCTTTCTGAGAATTGCATATACGGTTATCACATAATATCTGTATGAACACATTTCCTTGCATAGTTTTTCCCCCGAGCATGTGCAGAACGCATAGCGAGGATACTAATTTCGGGAAGCAGAGCACTTGGATTGACAAGTACATCCCTGATAGCGAACGCTTGGCTAGGATTTATAGGTTAACCTCCCATTGCTCTATAAAATATTGTGATTGTCAAGAGTAGATTTAATTAGCAAAACTGCCACTAAAATATTCAACATATACTAGCCATAGTTTTCGATTTATTGAAAAAATTTGCCCAGCTATTTACATCCAGAAACAAGTAGATCAAGCGGATAGACAAGTGCATCAGTGACAGCGAAGGTGTGGGTCAGATTAATGGTTTAAAAACCCACCACTGCTTTGAAAAATATTGCGAATGTCAGGAGTGAAATGAGTTTGAATTGGGGATCATCAATGACAAATGCTCAAAGGGTTAAATGGCAAGAGTAGGTAAACAGTTTATTTCCTTAGAACGGATTAGGAAGAGTAAATTGCAAGAAATCTGAAAACACAAGTTTGGTTTAAATGATGATATATTGTTAGCTGTTCTCAACACCTGAAAAACAAGAGCAACTACACTTCAGTATTTAAAACCCAATTTCACTGATGAGTATTTACTCCTTCACATCAAACTTACTTGTTGATATCTTCAATTTAACAAGAGCATGCGCTGTTAGTTATGACATAATACTCAAATCCGCAAAATCCCTTCTGGAATAAAAATGGGAGAGAAAAAAACTATATGTAGTTCCTTTGGGAAAATAACATTTACCTTGGGTTTCGCAGCGGTCACCGGTATATCCAACTGGGCATGAGCAAGAGAATGATGTTCCATTATTTGAACAAGTCCCGCCATTCATACATGGAGCACTGGCACATGGAACTAAATTAGATTAAAAATGTTAATTTTCATGTCAACTTGACGGAACTCAAAGAATTCAATTCATAGAATCCGGCAGCGAATTAACTTATAATATCACACATAAATAACACGATGGTCTAATTACAGAAGCTGTTTACGGTATCCAGCAAAGCAAGACGATCTTAACTTTTGCTAATTTATCATACAACGTTCATCCAAACTTAAACTAAGGTTAATCTATCCGTACAATAGGCAATGTCAATTAGTCCGCCAAAATTTCGTATTATATAGTATGTAAAATACTTTTTAAGTTACTAAACAAGCAAACAGACACACACCCACACATACAAACATGGATGAAAACATCTCCATCTGGAAAATCAAGCTAATAAATGTTTAGGAATTTCACTCTCGCATGTACTAGGTCATCGTCACAAATATCAATCACGAATATCTTTCTGAGAATTGCATATATTGTTATCACACAATATCTGTATGGACACACTTCTTTGCATAGTTTTTCCCCCGAGCATGTGCAGAACGCATAGCGAGGATACTAATTCCGGGAAGCAGAGCATTTTGATTGACAAGTACATCGCTGATAGCGGACGCGCGGTTAGGATTTATGGGTTAACCTCCCACTGCTCTCTAAAATATTGCGATTGTCAAGAGTAGATCTATAATGAGTAAAAGTGTCACTAAAATATTCAAGATATACTAGCCATAGTTCTCGATTTATTGAAAAAAATGTGCCCAGCTATTTACATCCAGAAACAAGTAGATCAAGCGGATAGACAAGTGCATCAGTGACAGCGAAAGTGTGGGTAAGATTAATGGTTTAATAACCCACCACTGCTTTGAAAAATATTACGAATGTCAGGAGTGAAATGAGTTTGAATTGGGGATCATCAATGACAAACGCTCAAAGGGTTAAATGGCAAGAGTAGGTAAACAGTTTATTTCCTTAGAACGGATCAGGAAGAGTAAATTGCAAGAAATCTGAAAACACTACTTTGGTTTAAATGATGATATATTGTTAGCTGTTCTCAACACCTGGAAAACACGAGCAACTACGCTTCAGTATTTAAAACCCAATTTCACTGATGAGTATTTACTCCTTCACATCAAACTTACTTGTTGACATCTTCAATTTAACAAGAGCATGCACTGTTAGTTATGACATAATACTCAAATTCGCAAATATCAACACATTTCTTTGCGTAGTTTTCCCCCCGAGAAAGTGCAGAGCGCATTGCGAGGATACTAATTCCGGGAAGAAGGAGAGCAAGTGGATTGACAAGTCCATCACCGATAACGGACGCGTGGCTAGGATTTATGGGTTAACTTCCCACTGCTCTCTAAAATATTGCGATTGTCAAGAGTAGAATTAATGAGTAAAAGTGCCATTAAATATTCAAGATATAGTAGCCATAGTTTTCGATTTATTGAAAATTTTTTGCCGTGCTATTTACATCCAGAAACAAGTAGATCAAGCGGAATCCCAAGTGCATCAGCGATAGGGAAGGTGTGGGTAAGATTAACGGTTTAATAACCTCCAACTTCTTTCAATAATATTGCGAATGTCAGGAGTGAAATGAGTTTGGATTGGAGATCATCAATGATAAACGCTAAATGGGTTAAAAAGCAAGACTAGGCAAAAAGTTTATTTCCTGCATGACAACGGATTAGAGAGAATAAATTGCAGAAAATCAGAAAACACAAGTTCGTTTTAAATCGTGATATATTGTTAGCTGTTCTCAACACTTGGAAAACAAGAGCAACTACACTTCAGTATTTAAAACCCAATTTCACTGACGAGTATTTACTCCTTCACATCAAACTTACTTGTTCATATTTTCAATTTAACAAGAGCATGCGCTGTTCGTTATGAAATAAAACTCAATTCCGCAAAATCCTTTCTGGCATGAAAATGGGAGAGAAAAAAAACTATATGCAGTACCTTTGTGAAAATAACAGTTACCTTGGGTTTCGCAGCGGTCACCGGTATATCCAACTGGGCATGAGCAAGAGAATGATGTTCCATTATTTGAACAAGTCCCACCATTCATACATGGAGCACTGGCACATGGAACTAAATTAGATTCAAAATGTTAAGATCCATGTAAAGTTGAGGGGACTCGAAGAATTCAATTCATAGTCTCCGGCAGCGAATTAACTTATAATATCACCCATAAATAATACGATGGTCTAACTACGAAAGCTGTTTACGATATCCAGCAAAGCAAGAAGAACATAACTTTTGCTAATTTCTCATCCAACGTTCATCCAAACTTAACGAAAAGTTAATCCATCCATACAATAGGCAATGTCAATGAGTACGCCAAAATTTCGTATTCGTATGCAAAATACTTTTTAAGTTACTAAACAAGCAAACAAACACACACCCACACATACAAACATGGGTGAAATTATGACCATCTGGCAAAGGTAATAAATGTTTAGGAATATCATTCTCGCACGCCTTAGGTTATCGTCACATCAATCGCGAATATCTTTCTGAGAATTGCTTGGTTATCACTTAATATCTGTTTCAGCACATTTTTTTGCGTAGTTTTTCCCACGAGAAAGTGCAGAGCGCATACCAAGGATACTAATTCCGGGAAGAAGGAGAGCAAGTGGATAGACAAGTCCATCACTGATAACGGACGCGTGGCTAGGATTTATGGGTTAACTTCCCACTGCCCTCTAAAATATTGCGATTGTCAAGAGTAGAATTAATGAGTAAAAGTGCCACTAAAATATTCAAGATATAAAGCCATAGTTCTCGATTTATTGAAAATTTTTTGCCGTGCTATTTACATCCAGAAACAAGTAGATCAAGCGGAATGCCAAGTGCATTAGTGATAGGGAAGGTGTGGGTAAGATTAATGGTTTAATAACCTCCAACTTCTTTCAATAATATTGTGAATGTCAGGAGCGAAATGAGTTTGGATTGGAGATCATCAATGACAAACGCTAAGTGGGTTAAAAGGCAAGACTTGGCAAAAATTTAATTTCTTTACAACGGATTAGAGAGAATATATTGCAGAAAATCAGAAAACACAAGTTCGTTTTAAATGATGATATATTTTTAGCTCTTCTCAACAACTGGAAAACAAGAGCAACTACACTTCAGTATTTAAAACCCAATTTCACTGACGAGTATTTACTCCTTCACATCAAACTTACTTGTTCATATTTTCAATTTAACAAGAGCATGCGCTGTTCGTTATGAAATAAAACTCAATTCCGCAAAATCCTTTCTGGAATAAAAATGGGAGAGAAAAAAAACTATATGTAGTCCCTTTGTGAAAATAACATTTACCTTGGGTTTCGCAGGCATCGCCGGTATATCCAACTGGACATGAGCATGAGAATGATGTCCCACTATTTGAACAAGTCCCACCATTCATACATGGAGCACTGGCACATGGAACTGAATTAGATTAAAAATGTTAAGATCCATGTAAACTTGAGGGGACTCGAAGAATTCAATTCATAGAATCCGGCAGCGAATTAACTTATAATATCACCCATAAATAACACGATGGTCTAACTACGAAAGCTGTTTACGATACCCAGCAAAGCAAGACGAACATAACTTTTGCTAATTTCTCATCCAACGTTCATCCAAACTTAACGAAAAGTTAATCTATCCATACAATAGGCAATGTCAATGAGTCCGCCAAAATTTCGTATTAGTATGTAAAATACTTTTTAAGTTACTAAACAAGCAAACAAACACACACCCACACATACAAACATGGATGAAAACATATCCATCTGGCAAATCAAGCTAATAAATACTTAGGAATTTCACTCTCGCATGCACTAGGTCATCGTCACACATATCAATCACGAATATCTTTCTGAGAATTGCATATATGGTTATCACATAATATATGTATGAACACATTTCTTTGCATAGTTTTTCCCCCGAGCATGTGCAGAACGCATAGCGAGGATACTAATTCCGGGAAGAAGGAGAGCAAGTGGATTGACAAGTCCATCATTGATAGCGGACGCGTCGCTATGATTTATGGGTTAACTTCCCACAGCTCTCTAAAATATTGCGATTGTCAAGAGTAGAATTAATGAGTAAAAGTTTACATCCAGAAACAAGTAGATCAAGCGGAATGCCAAGTGCATCAGTGATAGGGAAGGTGTGGGTAAGATTAATGGTTTAATAACCTCCAACTTCTTTCAATAATATTGCGAATGTCAGGAGTGAAATGAGTTTGGATTTGAGATCATCAATGACAAACACTAAATGGGTTAAAAGGCAAGACTAGGCAAAAAGTTTATCTCCTTACAACGGATTAGAGAGAATAAATTGCAGAAAATCAGAAAACACAAGTTCGTTTTAAATGATGATATATTGTTAGCTCTTCTCAACAACTGGAAAACAAGAGCAACTACACTTCAGTATTTAAAATCCAATTTCACTGACGAGTATTTACTCCTTCACATCAAACTTACTTGTTCATATTTTCAATTTAACAAGAGCATGCGCTGTTCGTTATGAAATAAAACTCAATTCCACAAAATCCTTTCTGGAATAAAAATGGGAGAGAAAAAAAACTTTATGTAGTCCCTTTGTGAAAATAACATTTACCTTGGGTTTCGCAGGCATCACCGGTATATCCAACTGGACATGAGCATGAGAATGATGTTCCACTATTTGAACAAGTCCCACCATTCATACATGGAGCACTGGCACATGGAACTAAATTAGATTCAAAATGTTAAGATCCATGTAAACTTGAGGGGACTCGAAGAATTCAATTCATAGAATCCGGCAGCGAATTAACTTATAATATCACCCATAAATAACACGATGGTCTAACTACGAAAGCTGTTTACGATACCCAGCAGAGCAAGAAGAACATAACTTTTGCTAATTTCTCATCCAACGTTCATCCAAACTTAACGAAAAGTTAATCTATCCATACAATAGGCAATGTCAATGAGTACGCCAAAATTTCGTATTAGTATGTAAAATACTTTTTAAGTTACTAAACAAGCAAACAAACACACACCCACACATACAAACATGGATGAAAACATATCCATGTTGGAAATCAAGGGTTAGGTTTGGTTTGGTTGTTCAAAATCTGTTTATAATCCGTGGATAATTCAAAACTAAATAACACTATAATGGAAACATAATACTATTGTAATTTCTAAACAACGAAAATCGTATCTTATTGTAACAATCGCGTGCATATTATGCTATACGTTACAACAATATTCTAATTATCTAAAATTAAGGAAACAGTTTTCTGTAATGAAACAGGTTCATAACAAACAATAGTAGCTAATAGAAATTAAGTAATTATGGGTCATTCCACGGCTTATTTCTCCAACAATATATGTATAATGTGGCCCGCAGGGCTACCTTCACACATTTAGCTATTATGCGATGGCCACTATTATGCGATGGCAAGCTACCTATTATGCGATAACAAGTTTAATTTGCGGATTTTGCAATATTCTTAGATTCAAGTGTGGTCACTTCTAGAGCAATAACCTGGAATGCCTCACAGTTAATAACACTATTAATAATAAAATAAATATATTGCACAAGAGCCAAGGACTGTTAATAACTATTAACAATGGAAACATAGCATTACTATGTATACCATAACAACACTATTATATATACCATAACACTATTAATAATGGAAGCGCATAACACTATTATATATCCTGTCTGTCTGTCTGTATAATGTGTTTTAACAAAGAACTGTCAAAAGCTACATATCATTTTAGCAGGTGAACTTAATATTAATTAACTTACGACACTATACAAGGCTATACAGCACTATACGATGTTATACAAGACTGTATACAACACTATATAAGGCTATACGACACTATACTGGGTTATACAAGACTATACGACACTTTACAAGAGTATACAACACTATACGACACTACACAATAATATACAAGGCTATACGACACTATATAACATTATACAAGACTATATAACAATATATAGAGGCTATACGACACTAGACAACGTTATACAAGACTATACAACAATATTTAAAAAACTCATTAATAATTCATGAAGAAAACACAAAGAAAAATCATAAGCGTGTCGTATCTTAATATGTGATACAGATTCATGTTGATTTACATAAACTTTAACTTTGATTTTCTCGGCTTAGACAACGTTTATTTTTATAATTACTTCGCCAATGTACTCATAAGATGAGTCTTTTTTTTAAGTTGTTTACAACATTCGCGTCCGTGTTGTATCAGATATACAAACTCTCGCCTTCGGCTCGAGTTTGTATATCTGATACAACACGGCCGCTCATGTTGTAAACATTACGAATAATATAAAAAGATACATTTTTCAATATCTTCTGTTTCTAAACGTTCTAGAAACTGTATCTTCTAGGAACTTTTATCGTTTCATTATTTTCAAGGCTCAATACTGGGGCCACTTCTATTTCTTTTATATATATAAACGATATTCAGAACTGTTGCAATCTAGTCTCCAATATATTATTTGCAGATGATACAAATATTTTCTATAGTCATTCTTGCTTAAAAGAGTTGAACTTAATCATGCAAGATGAAATAAATTAGCTGACTGGATTGGAAACAATAAACTATCATTGAATACAGCTAAAACAAAACTTATCTTGTTTAGATCATCAAACAGACTAAACATGACATCACAATTTCGATAAACAAACAGCCAATATAAAACAAGTTTAATAAAAACACAACATTTCTAGGTGTTATTATTGATGAACACTTAACTCGGAATGATCATATTGATTCAATTACGAAAAAAGTTATAAAATCGGCGGGAATAATACTATCTAAAATTCGACACTTTACAAATTTAAACACACTAAAATGGTCTATTACGCTTTAGTTTATCCTTATTTGATGATATACAAAAACTTAATTTGAGGAAATACCTATAAAACACGGCTATAAAAAATAGCAGATGTGCCAACGTAAAAAACCCCCACGACATTTCCAATTGGCTTAGAGCGAATAAAATACGGTGGTGCAAAACCTTAGTACTAACCTGGTTCTTTCTCAGGTCGACTCAACTGGCGTTCAGCATCTTCAACATTACATTCGTCTTGTGGTTCTCTTTTGTCATTCTGAGCGAGTCCCTTATCATCCTCCAGTACAACACCTTGTACTTCATCTTGACTATATGTATCAACATTCACCTGAAGGGAAAATGTTTTCTTAAAAATCATTAGAGTAATGACAGTGGGGGAGTGCTAATCATCATGCCGTGCAAATAAACATCTTATTCATTGGTAGTCGACTGATCAAAGAATGAAAGTAACCAACCGTTTGCCTTCTGGAATCACTTAAGGTCATTCTTATTCCAGCTTGTCCACATTATGGGAATTTAAAATATTTTAATACTTTTAGAAGGAGATTTTAAAATAAATGCCTACCTGGCTGCGCTTTATGAGAAATGAAAATGTTTTGAATTTGCTGTTTTGTGACAAGGTGATAAATCGGTATCGCCACCGTACGTGAATCAAGAAGGCAAACAGTTGAACATTTTAATCAGTCCAATATCAACATGTAGAAACAATACAACC